GCCGCTTGACTCCCCTTTCCTTGCTTAAATGTTTCGACAGCGTAGTTCACTGACCTGTAATACTTATTTTATAGACTTTTGTGCACGCTCACAGACACATATAAAGTGTGTATTTATGTCTTTCAAATTCAGGTTTCTCTACTTAAAAGTTCTTCAGTTTTCTTACAATTATTTTTTTCACGTGCTTAATTTCTGGTTAACATATTCCAGTACGTGTTGTACGTTAAACATTTGTATTCTTTGCTGGGATGAAACTAACACATTCGAAAACATAACAAATAAAACGGTTTGGAAAAATTAACGTTACTAGTGGAAATGGAGCGAATAAAATAAAAACTCAAGAACGCCTACGTTATAATTTATATACATCATATCCTATTGTCAACAACATAATTGCTTTACCATAAAATTAAGGTCATTTCTTGGCTTAAGTTTCTTTTACAATCTTTCAAAACACTAACTTTTATATCTTGAGAGTTTGTTTGTTTGTAATTAGGCACAAAGCTACATAATGGGCTATCTGTGCTCTGCCCACCACGGGTATCGAAACCCGGATTCTAGTGTTGTAAGTCCGCAGACATACCGCTGTGCCACTGGGAGACATCTTGAGGGTATTTAAAAAGCCATCCAATGACTCAGCGATATGCCTGCGGACTTATAACGCTAAAAATCGGGTTTCGATACCCATGGTGGGTTCAGTACATGTAGCTCATTATGTAGCTTTGTGCTAAAACAAACAAAAGAGTATTTTAAAAAAAATTAAATAGAGATTGTGGTGGTAAAAAATTAATTGTGTTTTTTAACATTTTACCAGTATTAATTTTTTCAATGAGATGTATGAAAATATACTTATACCGCAACATATTATGTGTTTGTATTATATATGATCCTAAAGTAGGCCCCTGGTGATTCAGCGGTAAGTTTAAGGCCTTTTATAACACTAAAATGCGCGCTTTGATCTGTGTGTTGGCACATCTCTGCTAATCTATTATGCAGCTTTGCACTTAACAACAAATTATTCTAAAACAGGTTCTAACTACCCCGTTAAGAATAACAAGATATTAACAGTTTATTATATTATTATCTTATTCGTCTTTGGTCGTCATATTAAACCTTAGGCCTAGCATTAAAAAATATCTTAGGAGAAAAAATGTCTTACATATGTGTTCGTTAGCTACTTTTTTTTACCAACGTACTCTTTTTGTAGGCTTAATTTAGGTAATTTTAATTAATAATGTTTGAAAAATATTGGATAGGCAGCCTGTGTACTTTTCACGATGATATGTGAGTACTAGACTGTTTTTAAGTAGTTGCAAGATGAAAAACTATAATTTCAGTAAAACTGGCTTTAACGTCTACTTACTTCACCTTATAGACGTTATCTGCAATCTTTTACCCTCTTATGCTGTAAAAAAAGTGATTTTTACAACTTCCGTCAAGAAACTCGGACCCACTCAACCTTATCACCTATAAAAATTCTAAATGTTAAAAAAGTTCTTTTATTTCGAAACTTGTTACCACAAATGTAGAACAAAAAACCTGCAAAACATAGTTGTTAAAATAAACAAATCAATAAGTAGCGGCGCGAAACTAAAAACATTAATTAGCCAAAATAGTTTTATGTCAATGCAAACGAAAGAAAAATGTCAATCAAGTAACCTCCGAAGCATTGGGGTATTTTAGTGTATTATGTTTTAACATAGAAAAACGACCCTTCCATAATACGCTTGTATAATTCTTTGTGTTTAGTATATTTTGATTACATTGATAGTCATGTAGTAACTCATGCTTGTCAGATCAGTTCCCTAATGCGAAACTTGTTTGTTTTTGTTGTTGTTTTTCTTGTTTTATCCTCCACATCCGAATGAATTACGATGCTTGATGGAGTTGACACTATAAATAAAAATATAATAATACAATCTATGATTACAGAACATTCATAATTATTTCTATTTACAAAGCAATGGTGTAGGAAAGAGATGCAAAGTATGGGTTCTTGGCTAAACATGCAGATTTCACAATGAGAGATTGAAAATATAAGGAGCTGCTGAAAGAAGCTCAGTCTAGGGGGGTCTGAGGGCATACTCCCCCAGAAAATTAATATAATCATACAATTTACAGTTGTTATAGAAGTCAAATGTATAAAAGTGGGGGTGCTAGAGCACCCCCCGGTTCGGACGTCCCTGCAGGATAGTTCAAACTACATTTTGTTTGCAGTGTTCGATCTTTCTGGTTAAGCGAAAAAAAAAATTCTAAATTAGTTACAAACACACAGACAGAATCTGTATTGAACAAATATTTACAACGGGTTACATTGAAATTGAGAATATATTTTGTTGAGTATATTACCTTAGACAATGTAGCATTGATGAAATATTTTGATATAACAAGGGCAATAGGAAGAGAGGCGAATAAGATAACTTTGTTTTCTTGAAAAACGTATTACATTATCTTTGTTCGTTGCACGTGCATTTTGACTACAATAAGATAAATACTGTAACGGAGTATTTGGTATTTTCAACCTGAACGATATTATGTATGTGCGTGTGAGCTAAACGGCCGAGGTTCAGGCATAACCACCCTTGATTTAAAGCTACTGACCAAATCAGGCATAGCCATCCTTGATTTGGAACTACTGAACGCTCCGCACTTTCAGCTGTGGAGGTGTTGTAATCATGACAGTCAATTCCGCAATTCGATGATGACTAACCGAGTAAACGGCGGATGCTTCCTTTGGTCAGCAGCTCAAAATCAAGGTTTGCTATAACTGATTTGGTCAGTAGCTCCAAATCAAGGTTGGCTATGCTTGATTTGGTCAGTAGCTCTAAATCAAGGTTGGTTATGCCTGATTTAGTCAGTAGCTCTAAATCAAGGTTGGCTATGCTTGATTTGGTCAGTAGCTCTAAATCAAGGTTGGTTATGCCTGATTTAGTCAGCAGCTCTAAATCAAGGTTGGCTATGCTTGATTTGGACAAACAAATCGTGGGCGAGCTAGTCCAAAATGCAAGTCACTGATTCGCAGCGTCACAGCAGAGGCCTTACGAGAGAAAAGAACAGGTGGGATACGAGCAGTAAGTGTTCCGCAGGGTCTTTTGCCCCGCCGAAATGGTAGGAGAACTAGAGCACTATACCACCGTGAACGTAACCAAATTCCCCCAAACAAAAACAAACGTGGGCACCAGTATTCTGTAAGATGTCTCTCAAAATTAAGATTCTTAAATGTTAAACATTTGTTTTCTAAAGGATGTAAGGCACAGTAAGGGCATGCCTAGATTTGTGCTTAGTTGTTTTATAATTACAAAATCTTAATAACGTATGAATTAATTCATGTAATCACTGATGCTCGATGCTTACTAAAACATTTGAAATTACTGATTATAAATAATAAACTCTTAATAATATCTACTTTCACAGAGTTCAACGAATAGGAAAGGTCCAAGGTTTGAGCCACATTATGCTGCTGAACAACGCTCACATGCTAAATCTTCACGCTGTAACATTTCATTTGTTATCGCTACTTGAAAGGATACGTTCACTATACCAGTGGTTCTCAATGTGTGGTCCACGAACACTAGTGGTTCATAAGCGGTGCCTCTCAGTGGCACAGCGGTATGTCTGCGGGTTTACACCGCTAGAAAGTGGGTTTTGATACCCTTGGTGGGCAGAGTACAGATAGCCCATTGTGTAGCTTTGTGCTTAACTACAAACACCAAATAATTTGAATTGCATGCCCCTTGCACGTGAGCACCCATATTCTGCAAAATTTCTTTCAAAATTAAGCTTTTCAAATTTTAAACAGTTTATCTACAGGATTTAAAGCAGCCTAGGGGTTGCCTACATTTTACGAGTAGTTGTTTTATCCCCCAGTGGCACAGCGGAATGTCTGCGAACTTATACCGCTAGATACCGGAAATTTTTCTCATTTTTCTTAAATAAAAACCTCAAAACATTTTACATCCAAAATACATGTCTGTTTGTTTGGTTTTAATTTATTGTCCTTTACTCGCCACTAATAAACTAACAACTAATTCATATCTATCATGTTTCGATGTTTTTTTTTAACTTAAATATTGTCATTTATTCTTGATTATTTATTCCAGATTTTGACGAAACAACGAATTGTGTGTTTGAAGACACCAGATATCGAGATGGTGATGAATGGAAGCCAGATCCTTGCACCATTTGTCGGTGCTTGCTAGGTAACATAATATGTGACAAAGAAGACTGCCCAGAAATAGAATGTACAACCCCAAAATTTATACCCCTCGGAAAGTGTTGCCCAATTTGTGCTGGTGAGTGCTAACTTTTTCAAATTAATGTGGATGTAAATGTAGGAATGAATTGTTTATAAATAAGTAGCTTGTAAGATTAAACAACATGAATATTGCACTTAAAATGAAAGAAAGCACATTTATTTCGATGAAATAATATGAAATAGTTAAAATAACTCACAGAGTCTTCGCTATATAGCAGATAAATCGTATTCATTCATTTAGATATCTCACATATTTAAATAAAAATTAACTGTTTGTTTTAGATTTTTTAAAAGTTGCATAAATATCTAAAAAATTTAATTTTGGTGTTTCTTCACAAACGTGCTGTTTCTTATCAATATTTCTTTCTTGGGCTATATGTATATACACATTTATATTGTACACAATAGTGAATATATTTAATTCATTATAAAAGCACACCTTTTTTAGATTTGGGAATAAAAATAGGACTTCGACAATAAGTGAGAACTGAGAAGATCAAAGATGTTATTTTTAGAGGCCTCTCTCCACCAGGCGTATCCACTGGTGCTGGGACTGGTACAATTGTAATAAGCTCTGATAAGTTATTTTAAATGATAGTACTGATTATGAGGGCAAAGTGCTTTTATAATTTCTTTAAGTGAAATGTTAGTCGTAATAATTACAGAATCAATTGATATAAATGATAATACAGTTCTTCACTGTATAATATAGACTTGTCTGTATTACATGTAGATGGTGGAGAAACTGAATCTGAGCAGATTGTTCCTCCCGTAAGTTTTTTTTAGTTTTATTAGCTCTAAACCTTGCCTTCATTGGCTCATATGATTCAATGAATAGATACTAGAAAACTTTCTTTATTAACGTGCTTTCTTTGCGTAAAAATTAATTGTGTTATTGTACTTAAGCCTAAACTATTTTTCAAAACAAATATTTTATATCACAAAAATACATATTTCATCTCAGCTACTTTTTATTGTTGTTGTTAATTTTCCCCAAGGCACATTATGAAGTTCGTAGTAGTTTGATGTTGATAACTTTATTACCTTAAAAATAAATGTTTTCTTTGGAATGAAAGACAGATATTCCTGAGTATGCTTAAGCACCTCTTCCTCAAAAACTGTTGGTGATAACCCAAACACAATGTTCTCACATTCCAGTGGACAAGGGTTGGTTACGATCAATAACAATTTCTTGAAACCTGGTTGATCATTCAAGTGCAGCTAATATTGAAGTTTCTAAGGTGTTATTTAGAAAAATTTTGCTAATTATATCATTTTATACGCCTTGTATACTCTGTTACACAGTTTTACTCTGTTCTCTACAAAATCAGTAAAAACTAAGATTACGGTGACGCTTAACGAATATAACTGTTTCCCCATAAATAGAATATTTTATATAGTGTTAACTACTTCACAAAATATTTCATGTTTGGCATAATAATACAACTATGAACACACATACACATATATATTTCTATTTAACAAGTACGTTACACGCTAAGTCTTGATTGTAACCACCTTTGTTTTTCCCTAAAAGATGGTCAGGTTTCATAAATAGAAATAAAATGGGAGAAACAAAAATAGATTTTAATACACAAATCATATAAAAATAACATGTTATTATACTGTAGTTCAATAAAGGCTATTACTGTATCTGTAGCAACAGTCAGATCCTCCAGACACATCGCACTACAATCCTCATCCGCCGTTTCCAGTTCTCATTCCAGGACGAATGGTATGATGTAAACATACTCATTTTTTTTATTATGATTTTTCGATTATTTAGGCCTTAATTATGCCTCTTTGTTATGATCGATGATACCAAGTTTAATATTTTATTTTTCTCAGGAAATAACTAATGATTTTTCTGCTTAGATATTCATAATTTCGCTGGTAAGTTCCCTTGTCATTGGTCTAATAATCATGTGTTGAGACATTGGAAAATATATAATAAAAAATACATATATATATATTAAAGGTTGAATCCGTCCCATGCTTGATTAACTATTTTCGTGGCACAAGTGAAAACGAATGGTAACACATTCGCCTTGGACGGAATGCTTGTCCACCTATAGCCATCAGTTTGTACACATTTCATGTGTCTTGCCCAATG